ACAACTTAATACCAAAACTACATTATGTTGTATAGGGGCAGCACGGTGGCTCAGTAGTTAGCAGAAGGTCGCTGGTTTGAGTCTCGGCTGGGTCAGATGGTGTTTCTGTGTGGAGTTTGCATGTTCTCCCTGCATTCGCGTGGGTTTCCTCCGGGTGCTCCGGTTTCCCCCACAGTCCAAACACATGCGCTATAGGGGAACTGATCAATTTATAGGGTGATGATAAATTTCATAGGACCCTATAACATCCTTTTTAAAAGTGTCCATCTGGAAAAACTCCTCTTCCTGATCAGAACCATCCAGACAACACAACTGAGCAGAAACCAAAATACATCATAATATACAAACATAAATGCACAATGACTAGATCCCGATAGCTGATTGATTAAACACACAATCACTCTGATTAGAAACAAAGACACTTCTGATGGCAAGACCCTGAGCGCTGTGTGTGTGTGTGTGTGTGTGTGTGTGTGTGTGTGTGTGTGTGTGTGTGTGTGTGTGTGTGTGTGTGTGTGTGTGAATGGAGCGTGTGTACTCCAATATACAGTAGTGATCATTGTTCAGTTGGCAGTGGGCGGAGTCTGTCACTCATCCGATTGTGACATCACACACAGCTGAGCAGATCAGCGGCATCTGATCAGCCAATCAGATCGCAGACAGTCACATCAGTCCACAAACATCAGCACAACTTCAAAATCTCCCTCCATACATCCATAATTAATCCAATCGGCAGCACAATCACTAAGACTATTAGCATCGACATTACCATTGCAAACAGCTGAAGCCAAAATTATTCTCTCTACTTTGAACTCTTTTTTTTTTATATTTCTGACAGTATTTCCTCCTATAATATTATTTCTTCTAGAGAAAGTCTTACTTTTTTAGTTTGGCTGGAATGGAAAAAAAAAAAAAGTTCAATAATATTATTAATCATATAACACAATCCAGCTAAAAATACGCATTTTGTCCATCCAAGCCTGCATTTCTTTATTCCCTCTGTTAATGAAGATATTTAGAAGAATGTTCAGAAATAAACAACCTGCATTTTCACTGAAAGCACAACTGTTCACCCTCCTCTTGGTTTTTATTAGTACTTTTTCAGATATTTCAGGTAACAGAGCATAGAAATGTTCACAGTATTTTCTATATTTTTTTTTTCTTCAGGGTAAAGTCTTCTTACTTTTAGCTTGACAAAAAAAAACAGTTTTTTGTTTACTATTTTAAGGTCGATATTATTAGGAAATACTGGGAAATATTTAAGAAATATTTTTGATTGTCTGCAGAACAAACCACTGCAGTAATGATTTACCTAATGAACCTATTAAGCCTTTTAATGTGACTTTAAGCTAAATACTAGCAACTTGAAGCATCTAGTCTAATATTACGTGCTGTCATCATGGCAAACACTAAAGAAATGCGTTCTTAAAACTATGATGTTTAAAATGAGTTGAAAACTGTTCTCTGTTAAACAGCACTTGGAAATATTCTGAAAATAATTTAAATTCAACAATTTTGACTTTTAAGTTCCTAAAAACAGCAATAAAAGGAGTTAAAAGTGCGACAGAGCGAACACGACAGAGCTGAACATCATGTGACGGACAACGGAGAACACGTATATGATGAAGACAGATGAACACAGGTTCAAATAGAGGACTGACATCAGGATTAAAGTGAAGATGGTGCCTGATGTTAAGCTAATTACTCAAGAACACACACACACACACACACACACACACACACACACACACACACACACACACACACACACACACACACACTATAATGAGATTAATCCAGCTAAAAATACTCATTCTGTCCATCTAGACCTGTATGTCTTTCATTCGTCTGGTAATGAAGATATTTAGAAGAATGCTGAGAAGGAAATAACCTGTTTTCACTGAGTGGGCAAAACACATCTCAATAACTCTATTGAATAATTTCATGCATTAAACATGTTATGCCTCAGTGTTTTCGTTCATACAATGAATGAAAGTTGTTTGGTGTATATAAAATATCTTTATTTACACTGAGAACTAGTCATAACAGACAATGTTATGAGGAAGAGTAAATGATAACAGAAGGATTTCTCTTTAAATATGACTAAACGTGCACATTAAACTGAGTGGGGTATAAATATCTCAAATTAACATACAAATGAAAAAAGCAACGAGACAGCACAGATTCATATGGAAGAGTTTGAGCTTGAGAGATATTATTATTATTTAATATTCAATATTTTAAACTAGGGCTGCACAATATATCATTTCAGTCTCAATATCGTAACGTGATCATTCACAATAGTCACATCGTGACTAAACGCAATATTGAGTCTGGATTATAATTATACAACAAAATATATGATATAATAAGTGTTTTTGAGGCCTGTGACTGTGTGAGGGATTTAAAAGCATTCAGGCCTATATATGAGAAACTGTACCAAATTTAATTTATGAAACAAAGACCATGCACTGTATACCTGAAAACAGTTTGACTCCTCGAAAAACAATCAAGTATAAAAAGTATAAATGCTTTGACAAAA